AAGAATGATGATAAGTGAGTATGTTTGTTGGAAACCACCGGTAGAACGTGGACACTTTTTTTTACTAAACCTGCCACAAAATAATCTTGGATCAATGTCGTACGCGTATGTCAAATATTAAGAAATAATATTTTTCGACATCGTTGCTCGGTCATCGATTACTTAACTGTTACTAACAGATTTCGCACCATCATGTTGTTTGGCAGAAAGCCGTGGGCATTATTTTAATGTTTCCCAGAAAAAATATCTCAACTTTATTAATGTTTTACACGTTATTTTTGTAGATATTCTTGGGAATTGGGATTCCAAATACTTTCATATAAAAATCGAAATACATACTGCACACGTGCGCAAGAGTATACAGGCCTTTCCCAAAAACAACATTACGACATTTTGTCAATGTTATCACAAAACCACTTTTTACACATTTGACCGCAGACGCAGACTAAATATATAATATTATCTGTTTCACAGAATAATGGAGGCAACAAAAAACATTGGATTCATAGAATGTTGTTCTTGTTCCGCATTCTGGCTAAGTACAGTAGGTTCAGAGATTTAAGGCCCAATTTGAATATACGGACAAATCACAAGGAGGCACGGAGATGCATACATGCATGCGTTAACTGGAAGCATACACAACGTTAGCTGGAAACGCACAACAAAGTGGAATGATGAGAAGCGCGGATTCCGTTAAACTGTAAGACGATCGATACCACACCACGCGCGCTAAATAAATGTTTGGGAAGACATTTTATTGCTGTCTTTGTATCCTCACGATTCACTGCTGTCACGGCGACAGCAAACATCAGAAGGGACATCAATACGATTAGTCCTACCCAAACAAAGCAGCGCGAGCGGGTGCCGCGTGCGAGCTACGACAATTATTGGGACTTTCTAAGGAAACTCCGTTTCTAATAAATATGACTACATAACATTAACACATCTGTTTTGTAGCTTGCCTGTGTTTTGAGTTATTCTAATTAGCTACATTAAAGCTGAAGGCCGATCAGTGGAAAATTCAAAATATGATTAATTGGAATATTTGAACGTAGATTCTTAGAAGTCGGAGAGTAGGTTCTATAATTATTAATTCAGCTCTATTACTGGTGCACTTGAGGTATAACAATCAACAGATAAATACAACGTAATGACGCCGACGGCCGTCTATCAACCTGTCACTGCCGCACAACTATCGCAATCTTTAAACACGATAAATTACACCTATTCACACGTACAAGAACAATTTAAACAAGCGACTGGTGTCCAACCACCTCACGATGTTATCACCTTTAGTTAGCGAGGAAAAAACGACTGATACATACATACGTAATTATCACTCTATTCTAGCTTCGGAAAATGCATAATAGTTCTCAAGGATTCTGAAGCAGGTAACGCTGTAAAATAATTATGTACGTTAGGGTTTTGGAAAGTCCCACATGTTGCGAAACAAATTACAGATCACGAATCAGAAACAAATGAATCAAACTATGCGTCACCATCAGTAACAAACAAAAAGATTTTATGAATAAAATTTTATCGTGTACAATCTGCGACAAAATTGCAGATAAGATATTGGCGTCACAACCCACGCTCAGCTCAGGCAATGTTCTCTCGACTGTACCCGATAATAACTGCATTTACGACGCTCTTACGCAAGTCTGTAGTCTGTACGCTTCAAAAATAACAATGCGCGCTTAGTATGCACGACTTTTAGAAATATCCTTTTAACACAGTTATGACGTTTTGTTTATCAATAATAAATATCCTACCGTTACGACCGTTACCAAGAACTTGAACGCTTAGACTTACTTTACGGCTTACGGCATAGTATTTTCAAATCTCTAATGCACTTTATAGCTTCACGATCCTTGTAAATAATTTATATTCATTAAAGTAGCAATATAGAAACTCGTGTAGCGAAGAGCAAATTCATGCAATTAAAATAAATACACTTAGCAATTCCTTACAGAACGTATTTGAGTACGGTTTCACAGCGCGCATTTCCAAGGGGTTTTCGATATTTACTAGTTCCATGTGCACATAAAAGCGAGGTCCCCGGACGAGAACTGTGTACATCTGTACATGCCCCACTGGATTCCACTCACATATATTCTCATTTTGGTCTATTTTATGTACACTCGTGATGTATGCAACGGATAAATATTTCTCCTGTTCCGAATTCAAGTAAAATCCAAATACATTAATGTTGCCATCATAAATCGTCAATGTTTATGTACGCAAAAAACACACAAGTCTGTTCATTCACAATATGTATGTTTACTCACCGCCGACGCGGCTTTGCGTTTAATTTTAACTAGTCAGCAGAATCCCAGGCGTTCAAGGTTCCGAGGTAAAAATGCGCATAGATAATCTAGCGACCGCGACGTCATTAATAAATGAGGAAAAAATATGTAGTAGTAAACAAGAATGCAGTAAACACGTGGAGACGCTCACAATGGGTGCTGATACCATTATCGTAACTTTATCATGCATTATAATGGGCTTTCTTAGAAGCGAAATAGCCTGGCGCACAATTATCGCGGCTTCTGTGAAACGTCAGTCTGTGCTCGTAATTATGTGGGTGCACCGACTACCAAGGTTTCGTTGTTTTACTTACAAAAATTGAAACTATTATAGATAGTTTAGATAAGAACACAATAGATTACTAGGAAGCATGTATAACGCGGGCGGACACTGAAGCTTGTGATGTAGATAAATAGCCACGTTAATGTATTACGTAATGATTAGAAACTACCTAATACCGTACGTAACGTAGCGTACTAAGAATCGACAAACTAAAAAATATTATTATTAAGGGATTCCCCAAGTAACTACGCTGACAGCTGATTGCAAATAATATTTCGCAATATAAATATGTGGACAGTTTTCTTCATCTAAATAAAGTCCTGAAATCCCACTCCACACTACATTAGGTACATTCGTGACGAGACATGTGTGTGCTTGTGTGTGTATGTGTAGCCAAAGTTAAAATTACGGCTAGACGCCAAGTGTTTATAGCCAGACATAAACAACAAATGTTTTCTGTCATCACTCGGAGGCTCAGAGCACGGTCCTTATGTATCATGTCGTGTAATAACGAAACGAATTAATAATTACAATTTAAATCACAATGTTACCGTTGATGTACTAATTAACAAGTCATTACTTTTATGACTGACTTAATAAGTACCTTTACAAAATGACTTGTATGGTAATTAGCATAATTTCTAGACAAGCCAGTACAGCAACAATAACAAAGTTATGGGCGAACATAATCTCCTCTTGTTTAATTAATTCGTAGAATACGTTAATTCTATGTCGAAAATAACTTTCAACGATTCTATCAAGTTTGTACTGTGACCAGCAAAAGCTGTAATTTTGTGTCCCAGCACAAATTGGTCCTTTGAGACGAATACACTAATTAAATTACATTTATGACTCGTTTACTTATTATCATTATTGACGACAGTTTTAAATACTCCTATCTACATGTTGTACACCATCAATTACTGCACCCATTGGTTGGTAAAGTACTATAATTATAGTTCTAAGAAAATACACACACTTTGATTTAATTACATACATATTTTCACTCATCATCGAACCGTTTTCTCGTTGATTGTACGCTTGCAATGGGGCGCGTCGTAAAATGTTAATTGGTCCTCAATGGCTCACATTACTATTTCTGCGAACTCCTAAGATTTACGCGTTAAATACTTAGGGTTTTTTACTCGTGTAATACGCATATAACTACGCTACGGCTTTATTTACAACGAAATAGTAAATACGATTACTGAGAAGACGAACCATTTAATGTACTAGTACATGAAAATGTCAACTACTTCTAGTTAATTACAATTCCTATTACAAAGTATAAAATACACGCAAGTTTATCATTACAGATAGATACTTAGTGCTACACTCAGAAACTGCTTAGTTGATTTTGTTTAAACTTAGCACAGAGATAGGCCATGACCCGGATTATTATTTGAGTTATCTATCATTAAAATTCACATAGTTCGCAATCAATTGGACCTAAGTTAGTTTTTTTGCTGGTTTCTTGTAGACAGAACCAGTTTAATATCTCATCAGTTATCTTAAAGGTCTCGCCCGGTAATTTCCATTATTCTGATGAACGAATTCAAAGATAAAACATGTTATTGTTTTTCAAGATGTAATTCATAGAATTTCCAATAACTTGTTCTGTTTATGTTAATATTCGCATGAATGCTGAATGATAACTTAACCTATGACTTTCTTACAAGCAACTTTGATTTGTATTCAAGATCGTTCAGAAAATGGTTTCATAAAATTTTATCTCATATTTTATAATCATTAAAAAATGTTTTGTTAATTTGCCTTACGACGAATTTTGTTTGATGTTTTTTAAGATAAGGAAATTGTTGAAAGTTGGGTGTGACGTAAACATCTCTTTTGAAATTGAGGTACTTAAATAATTCAAGTATTTAAGACATTGAATGTCTTCAATGCTTTGACGTTACCTATTTTCCCGCTGAGTAGGAGTCATGTATTAGTCGTAGTTTATTCATTTGGGTTATCCGAACAATTTTCGATTCTGGCTAGAGAGGAAACACACTTGCTTTATGATCTCACCCAACATATCCGCAGTAGGCAAGTTCTTGGACAAACCCGAAATGAATGCCCGAATAACTCTTTCGTATAGTAACAACAATAAACTTCGGGCAAGTAACAATAAGGGAGGTTTGGGCAAATCAAATAGTTGTTTAAGTACCTAAAACATATTCAAACTTTGCTATAGTTTAGCAATATTCCTGTAGCTCGGAGTCAGAAAGTTATACAAAGACGGGAATTCAATACTTATTCGAGAAGTTAATATATAATTTATATTTGGAGCCGAGTGGGTACAGAAACTACTGAGGGACAGACAATACTGTTAACGAAATTGGGACTTTCTTAGATTTGAGCGTTACGACTTCCGACTGATGATGAGGATACTGTGGGTAAGAGTTTCTTACCTTCTGTGGTGTGGATTCGGAAGCTGAGCGGAGCTTGGCACGACCAGCTCCGCCTGCTTGGCGGATGGCTGCCATGAGGTTAGAGTGGGCGTCGCCACCGGCTGGAGGCGCTGGCGCTGGAGTCGACGACGGAGCCTTCTCTTTCCTAGATACAAAAATAATATTCATTGTTATGGTTTGTTGAAACAATCTTAGGAAATAAAGGGTCCGTGATTTGTTTTTCAAAACAAGGTCAAATGTGTTTTCAAAAAACCTATTGTTCTAGCGCAGGACATGGGAACAAAGGTCAAATTAACTACATTGTACAATAACCACGATAGGTATGTAGTATGTACTGACGACAGATCGTGAGAAACTACGTGTTGATAATAATAATTAAATAAATAAATCAGCCTGTAAACTGTGGGGTAGGGCCTTGCAAATATAAGTATTGATCAACTGTACGTCATTCTCATTAGAGGAATTTCACTAAACTTACGAGAGTACAATGTACTTAAAACTGGAAAAAATAACCTTTCGAACGCAAATTCTCATGCTTAAAAAGGCATTAAAAAACCTTCGGGCCACAATATCCGTAATATAATGAAAATTATTACGAATTATTAAATTCATTACAAAGGATTCCTTAGCGGTTCGCATAAATAATTAAATTAAACACCGATTAATTTGTTTACCAGATCCTTGTAAGTTTCTTGGTAAGCCATAATAAATAATATTAATCGTACACGAACATGAATGAAACGAGTTCAACATAACGTTCACACCTGCACCAAGTACCAACTCATACGCGATGACTTGATGATTCTCCCCTATCTCAATGAAATCGTGTCCGGTATTGAATTAATAGCAGCTGTGTACAAATCACTACAAGCAACATTATGTAGCAGTAAACCCCTCAGTACTTAGAACATGAGTAATAAAATATAGCCATTATGTAGATGAGACGAGAAACACAAAGGCACCTTTACCAGACTAGGTTCAAATGATCACACTTATAAAACAAATGAAATATAAGCCCTCTCATACAGATTAAAGGGTTTAACAACGAAACCTTTGCGATAATGAGCCCTTGGGGTTTAATAAAGGTTAAATGTAATCTACCTCAGGAATTAGGCTGAACTTTTCATCACACTTTTGACTTCAGAGAGGTCAGTAGTCACGGGAGTACTTACAGTACACCCACTTTCCGTCACTTACACGTCCGTTCGATTGTAGCCTGAAGCCAAAAAACGGGGAAAGGGTTGTGTTAAAATCCAGTAATTCTTATACTAAACTCGAGATCTCGCGCTTTACAGTAGCTTTCGCATTTTTTCTAAAAAAGATTTTAAATGAAATGTTCAAAATTAGAATATAGGATCTTGAAAAGACCAAATAAATGTATTACGGCCAGTTTAGCTCCTGGAATTTATTTGAAACATCTTACGTTCACACAATTTGTTGGGGAGGAATATTGTCAAGTAACAAGGCCCTGTTGGCATGACAACCTTCACTTCTTGATATCCATTTCTAAAGCCCATCCCACACAAGGAGAGGTAGTGACGTAAGTAAGTACCATGGGCACGTGTAATGTGTTTTTATGTGTGGTATACTTTATTCTGCACGGAATTATTTCTGACCTTTGTTTGCGAATATTGATTCGACTAGACTTGTCTACGATCTGGGTACTCCAGACTACCTCCTGTGACGTCATTCGTGTTTTCTAATGAAATCAAATTCGTTTGATATAAAGTATTGTATTATTGCTAACATTTGGCTTTTGGGAAGAATTTGTTTACCTCGTGGACTGAAATTTAATCTACAATTGGCAGTGTTTACCGCACTGCGTCATGAACACAAAATAATTTGTTGCAAAACAGACACCATGCAGACTACATTACATAGGTACGAGAACCTATTTAGTATATAAACAAGAATTTGGCACAACACTATAATACGATGAATGCCAAAAAACCTCGTTTTACGTGATCCCAAAGACGAATACAAAACTATAAATGTTCAGAAACAACATTAATCGTTCCAGTCCTATTTAATCTGTGCTATAATCCAGAGACATCAAAGAACAAAAACAACAAACACGTTAAAAGTCAGACTGGCAATATAGAGTAAAATTGCATGATTCTAAATTTGAATCCAGCTTACGTGGAAGTTTTAAAAAGGCAAAAGCATATTAGCGCTTTAGCGGTTTTATTGCTGACGGCATAATAGTACGAATTATACAAATACGTACTAATATTGAAAGATCGATAATATTGTTCCGGTCGTGTGGCTTACGGTCGATACCTGTGTGTTTAGTAATTCAGTGTTGCAGCTGGTGTTTGAACTACCAGTTTAAAAGCTCTAGTGAAAGTTATGTTGGAATCTATCCTAGATACTGCTTTTGCATTTAATTTTATCACACATTTATAATCTTCCTCGCAAAATAACCTCTATTGATTTCACAACATGTTAAGACGAATTACTTGCATTTATCAGAAGCGTAACGTAATCCAATTTATTCTCGGATCTGGTTTTAAAATACTTAGAAATATTTTAGCTTAGCCGCATAAATTTCAAACACCAATGGTGTTAAATTAAATTGGCAAGTTTGAAATGCTGTTCATTAAATAACTAGACCTAGATCCGATGTTCTAGTCTACTTTTTTTTTAAATAAAGAACAATCAATTTGTTATTCGTTCAGCGTGCTGTATTAGCAATAGGTATAAAAAACAATTGCAAGTTGACAAGCAAAAACAAAAAGCCATCAACATACAATTAGTTCATACAAGTATAATATTAAAAGACTAAAGACAAAAGGACCAAAGTCGTGCGAACAGACCTACTGGACCGGTCCCCTAGTCCATTGGGAACAAATGGGGCCAATCAGTGTCCTGGGTGTATTGATCACAGTGTGATAACCTCACAAACGATTCCGTTGATAACTGCGAGGTATTGACCTGCAGCGGACGCGCCAATTTAGTAGCCCACAATCATTTGAAGACCAACACAGTGTGTTGGTATCAATGTACTGTTAACGCATGTTGAAGGCTAACCACTTGTAATGTCACTAACTCGGTAACAAATGGATAATACGCTTGGGAAACTGAATCTTGGGATCGCTTTATTATCCACAATTCAATTATCGGGTTATTGACTGATTAGTCGTTTGCAATTTCAAAATGGTTGTGAATAAAAATATATAGAGTACAAAAAACTTGTTCAGAATAGATAGAGATCTTACAAGATATTAATCGTAATTCAATTCAGAATTTTTATAAATAATGCATATGGACAAGTAACACAATGTTATCTCTTGATTAAAACTGTCCGCATACATTTTGCCGGACTTAGAAAACCGCCAAGGCGCTAAGAATTATAGAGAAGGCAAAAAATATTAATAACCGTCACTTCGTCACAAAACAGTACACAAGTAATAATTATCACACCTTGTGTAATAAGTAGAGTTAACAAGGTATAAATTCTCTACTGACGACTTATATTCACAGCATAACTTGAATCACTTATAATAGCAACAAAAACAGCAATGTTTAGCTCAGTGGCCGTACACAAAGACGACGTGTATGTACGCAATTTATTATCCCCATTTACTGCTGAAGCAAAATATGATTCCACCTTTGGCGTAATTGCTTACCATTCCGAGGCAAATACATGACATTGCAACATCGGAATGGGAACGTTAAAAAGCTTCACACTCAATCCTACTACCCTAGCTTTTATATTTCTTTCCATATTCATATTTTATAGCAAGTACTCAAGCAATTGTAGCTCATATTACCTTCCCCTTGCAGACAAATTCGCGTGAATATTCATTAGTATCGTGTCCAGTACCTCGGTGAGGACGAAACCAAACAAGACATTCCAGTCTGGCTATCATTCCAAGTAACTTGATGAGATCAAATTCGTAAAAACATAATAATAAAGTTATATACGTATTTAATTTTATTCTTAAAGTAAAAAATAACATTGACATTATAAAGCTGACAAAGTGACTATAATTTATTAATAATAATTGCGTTTCATAATTAATTAAACATCGATAAGCTAATAAATATAGCTCTGATATATTTTCCTGGTAAAATAACATTCAACCTTTATAAACGGCCGCAGGATATAAGGTTCTATGTAGTGTATACTTCTCCTTTCGTGTATTTAGGAAAAGAGCAATCAAAAGAGGCAATACTAAACTAATAGCAGCAATTATTTGCTGAGTACACACGCCAGTTTATCGGAATTATTCGTTTTCCTCGTAGTTATGAACGAATTTGGTTTGGATAAACAATTCAGTTTATTGTGTGTCAGTATGTGGAGTTACGATTTATTTATTTATATTATTCTTTACAGACAGCTAAATGATGTCCTATTTTTAGACATACGATACAGACGACGACTATCATCTCCTACATTACCTACCTACATAGAACAATAATAAAGTAGCTATTTTTATTCTGTAAGTAGATATCACGGAAAAGCTTCAAGTTATAATGCGGGAGCGGAGGTATGAGACCGTTACAAGTTGCTTACATTTATTTATGGATAAATGACTCGGCGATATCATTTTCTCCCCCAAGCACTAACCCTCACTCAGCCTGCAGTTTTATAATTCACCCCTAACTAAATTAAAATCGATCTGTCTGACTCCAGTCAGACCATAATCTTCCCCCTAGGGATGCCATATTCATACCCTAAGTTTTGTCAAGGGCATTTAGAACACTGTCAATAAACAGTAAACAGAATTTTTGTTCAAGAAATATAAGCTTCGGTTTCATCTCATTTGGAGAACATTGCCTTTGTTGCGAACTACTGAGTTTATATCTATCATTTAGTTATATCAAATTAATAATACAGTATTACATTGACATCGGTTACATCTCCACTGCAAATCTGACTTCTCTCTCTGAAAATTTGCTTTCGTAGAACATAAGTACGACGTATACCGAGTAGAACAGAATGCTACAGAAATAGCAATTCGCGGTACATAGCGTACATACGCAAATGTATGTACTACTCGTGCACATATAAAAGTATATGAGATGACTACGTACCACACCCGCATATTTACAAGGCCTTATGTTACTGAGAATCAGCAAATTATTCAAAACAAATATTACTTTCCAATGTCATTAGATTTTGGTAGACACATTAAAGAA